GGAACCACCATAATCAAGGTTCATACAGAGAAAACAGGATGTCAAACTTGAAACAAAATATAAGCGCTCAAGCCCTGTAAAGAGAAGCTGGCCTGACAGACTGCTCAGAAGAAATACAGATTTTCCTGATCCACAGAATCCTTGTTACCTCTTCCTCCTCATGGTGCTGCATAAGCTCTTGTGGAGAAAGACTATAGAGGTTGCACAATTTGGACTTCACCATGATTGGAATATACCCTAAGGGCTGTTTGATAGTCCCTTGTGGCATGCCATTTACTGACCAGCTGATGTCAGCCTGAAACGATACAACATGAACAGTAAGCAAATTATGTTGCCCTTTTAATATTTTCTGCTATATTAATTGTATATTTCATATAACCATAGGTTTCTACCACAGTTTAACAGACTTCTATCACTGTAAAATGGTAGTAATAATAAAAAGCAGAACTAGTAGATACATGCATAAAGATTACACTCTGGAAAACAGTCAACATGGGTTTACAGAAGAAAATCATACAAGTCTAGAGCTAGGTAAAGAAGCTGCTAGGTGAGTGAACAAGGTTGGTATTGTCTACTTTGCCTTTCAGACCCTTCAACACAGCAGCCTAAGTAAAAAAAGGCAGCCATGGGATAGGAAAGGAAACCTCAAAAATTAACAGTTAAAAAGAAGAAAACAGCAAGTGCTCAGTAAAGCACATCCGCACGACAACCTGCAGAGGCCTTTCCTAAGACTTCTTCACATAGCATGCTCAAGAGTGATCTGAAAAGCGAGAAAGAAAAGCATGTGGGAAAGAAAATTTATTAACAAGATCTGGCAGTGGGTCTGCAGAAGAACTGTGGGAGCAAACAATCCTAACTTTATATGCAAAATGACAGGCTTTAAAAGAGCTACTATCATGCAGGAAAGAAACACTGGCACTGCAGTACAAGAACATTGGTTCAACACCTGGCAACAGCTAAAGAGAGTAAATTGAGTCTTAGAAATTACTAGGAAAGGGAAATGAAATGTTACTGTGCCTCTTTAAATCCACAGTGCAGCCTTACAGACAGACAGCTGCACAGTTCCAGTTTGTATCTTAAACAATGACTACAGGTATAAAGTGGCTCCCGTATGAGCAGCTGCTCAGCAGACTACGGCTCACTTCTCATCTTGGGGAGGTGAGAACTGCAGGATGAAACTGAGGAGAGGGATACGTGCTTAAAGTAGCACAGTGGAAACAGGGAATGATTACTCACTGCTTCCTGCTGTATATAGGCAAAAAGTGGGAGAGACCAACCTGTCCCAGCACAAGGCAATGCCTTTTCATACAAGGCACAGCAAACTGTTCTGTCCAACTGCTCCAAACATTCCAAAAATGATTAAACAGATAGACAATGGAAACAAAAGACATGGGAAATAATGCAGAGGTGAAAAATAAAAGCATCTCTAGCTCAGAAAAATCTAAGATCCACTGGGAATACAGCTGTGAACAACCTGCAACTGCCCCATTTTCATGTTCAGGTAAGATACTGCACTTAAGAGTGGCTTTTAGCATGTAAGGTGTAAGGTTCTGGACAAATTAAAAACCTAAAAAGCTAAGATTCCAAACAAGCATTCCCTTGCACCAGATGCTTCATGTAAGCAATCAGCTCAGACACAATTACATAATTTTAACAGAAAACAGCAATGTGAAATCTTTTCATAGTGCAAAGGAAAATATCTGCTGGGCATGATTCCTCTCTAGGCAAATTTCAGAGCAATTCAGAAAAATGATGAACACGTGAACAAGAAGATTTATAGGTCTGGACTTCTGTATGGGAGCAACGCTGCTTTTGAAACCTGGATTCCTGCAGAAACAAGATTTGGATGATCAGGCTGGGATGACATGGGTCTCCATCCAAGGTCTTCCGAACTGACAGGCTGCTCGCAAGGTAAATGTGACAACAGCGTGGAGAACTTGGCTAAGGTGAGATGGGCAGGGGGGCCAGGACCGCGACAAGCCTGGCGTGCGCGGAAGTTTGTATGGTGAGCCCGTACATCAACACGCCCAGATATCATCAACACCCCAGATCCCACGCGGGGCAGCGCTCTCTGAAACGCTCTCAGCGCTCTCCCCGTGGGACCAGTGAACCGGGAAGGGAGGGCCCTTTAACTATAGCACAAGGCTCAACCGGCTCCGCCCTCGGGGGCGTGAGGCCGCCCCGCCGGACGGGAACACGCGTGCTCGGGGCTCAGCCGGCTCCGCTCCCCACGTGTGCCGGACGTGCGGGCGGGACCGGGACACGCGCGTGCAGGGCGGGGCTGGGACCGGGACCCGCCCCGCCGGACAGGGACACGCGTGTGCGGAGCGAGCGGGCGATGGGACGGGGGCACTTACGGTGATCCTGCCGCGGTAGGTGCTGCGGAGCCCGCGGCACTCGGCGGGGTACACCCTCCTCTCCTGGCAGACCGTCCCGGCCGGCACGGCGGGGGGGGCGATGGACACGCCGACCAGCGCCAGCGACACCCGGCTGTCCTTCAGCGCGAACTCCACCGGGGGCACATCCTGCAACGGCACCGGGTCAGCGCGGCGGGGGCAGGAGAGGGCGCGGACCAGCCGCCCCCCGCCGCCCCACGAACCTGCACGGCGCGGTACACGCCCTCGCTGACGGCGTAGTTGAAGGACTCGATGTGGGCAGTGGTGAGGTCGCGCTGGGCCCTGCCGCGCCCCGGCGGCCGCAGCCGGTGCGGGTCCCGCGCGGGTCCCGCCATTTATCACCTCAGGGAACCACCGGGGAGCGGCGCGCGCCAGACACCGCCGCGAGCTTGGGCCGCCGCGTGCGAGGATCGCACCGCCCCCTGCGCGGAGCGCGCGTGCGCACAGGCGCGCGGGCCCCGCCCCGCTCGCGCAGCTTTTAGGCGGCGCCAGGGGCGCTGCCGGTCGGACATGTCTGTGCCTGATCCCCGCCCTCAGCCGTGGCTCCGGGAGCTACGTTCCTCCCAACAGGCGCTCCCAGCACCCGCTCGCTAGCCATCTGCATTCCCCCCGCCGCCCGGCCACGCACACCCCGGGGGCGGAAAGCCCTGACACCGCGTCACCCCCATCGCTCTCTGCCCCCTCCGCACACCTGGAGACCCAAACAGCATCCCCCGCCCACCCCCCAGCTCCCACTGGTGCTGGGACAGCCCTGGAGGTGAAGCCAGCTCGGTCATGCTACGCTGCTGTCTCACCTTTGTCACCCCGAGATGAGGGGTGCGCCAACTCCCGGGAAACACACCACATGCACCCACAGGACATGACTCTCCAGGGACCCGCTGCCCCAAGGAAACACCGCAGGCTGTGGGGTTTGCATGTTTTAATGATGGTTTAGGAGAGATGTGGATAAGTCACCGGAGATCCACGAACTCAGGCACTTGCCAGCCTCACACGCACATGCTGACGTGAGAGCAGCTGGGGACATGATCCAGAGCCTGGCAGACGGCCAGCTTGGCAGCGCCCCATGTACCCCGCCATCCTCTCAACACCAGGGTTTCCCCAGGGCTGCCACAGCAGACACTGTCAATGGAATATGTTTATGAACCTACACATGGCACAGCATTGCTCTCCTGAGGGAGAGCTGCATGTGGAGAACAACAAATGCTGGGAGCAGGTACATGCAAGCAGTCCTGAAGGGCACTGGCCACAGCCACCTAGACGAAAGCAGCTTTTGAGCCTTTCTTAGACTTGTCCAGCATTCTCTGTGGACTGTGGCCAGCCATCAGATTTCAGCAGAAACACAATACCTGTTGCATGGTATTTATGACTAACTTATATGCAACAAGCCACATTGGAGTTATCTGAAACCCAGAGCCCAGCGGGACCAGACCCTGCTGGAAAACACAGCCAGAACACCTGGGCCAGAAATCCTTCATGGATGACATGAAGGGATACATCTAGGACTAGAGACATTCTGCAATATGGTAGATGTCTTCTAGAAACCCAGCACAATCCTGGGTGAAAGCTCAGGAAAGAGAGTAAGACCTTTTCTATTGACCTTTTAGCTGAAATAAGCTAGAAAACATTTATTGTTGTATATTCCTAAAAAAGAAACAAACAAAAGTCTCACAGGGGCTTGTGAGTATCACTTGCAAGGTGCACCCATGGGTGCAATGCTCAGGCCTCAGCCACACACACATCCTCTACTCCACCTCATAGCTAGTATTTTGGGCAAAACCTTAGGCACTGTGCTCTCTGTCCTTTATAATTTACGTTCTGTGCTTTACTTTGGGGAGCACTGAGAGAAGGGGGAAAATACACACATTTTCCTCCAGAGGCCATTGCTTATTCCTGAAAAATTCAGCAAATGGAGGATTCAAGTTTCCTGAAACACTACCTACCCCATGCCCAGCTTAAAAGGCAGGGTACAAATAACTGCACTGCCTGTAGTCATGACTCTACTGCCAAGCTGAAGCCCCACTTTCAGATGAACAGCAAAAATGGCCAGCTGTTGCTCTGCCACAACCAATCTGGGATGAAAAAGGGGGAAGGAAAGGCCTTGGAATTAGGCAGAAGATCCCTAGTCATTGCTCCTGCTGGTGGTACCAGCTGCTCCAGTGGGAGCCACTGCTTTTGCCTGTATCCAGGCAGCTTTCTCTCTCTTATCCTGCTACACAGCCAGGAACCTCATGTTACTGTGCAGTAAGGGAGTGATTCATCATCGTAATTTAACCTCCCCTTCCCTTTTTTGGGGAAAAGAAGGATGGGTCTAGCACCCCAGAAAACAAGCATTTCTGGTTCATTGTGATGGGGAAAATTTTCTGGTCTAATTTCATGCTCTGCTCATCTGCCCTAGAGCTTGTGAGAGCCCAGCTGTCACCTCAGGCACATCCTGGATGAGAGCAACTGCTGTGAGATCTTCTCTTTGCTGGGCAAGACGGTGTTATTCTTAAGTTCACTTAAGCTAACATGAAAATGTCAATGGAGACATGGTGAACTTTGCAAGTTGATTAACAACCCTTAACAGCCTACATTTTACCTGGACTGCAGTGAAACTTTTACACCTATGTGCTAAAAACCCAACCACTCCTTCCCCAACACCCCTCTCCCCACTTTATCACCCAGCACTTCCCATCTCATGGAGCAGTGCATTCATGGTCCATCTTCCCAACACCCATGAGGCCCAAATCCAGAGACCAGACCTGGCATTCAGCATCTTGCTAGAAGTGAAGCCACCTGCCAGTACCTGCAGAGCAGGGGAACCAAGCTACAGCCCCCTTTTCACACAGGTCCTGCTCCCTGTCACTTCTCTGCGTGCACCAGTGCACTCTGCATCCACCACGCACTCTGCAGATGCAGATCCATGCTGGCTTCAGGGTGTTGACAACTTCAGAGGTGTTTGTGTGGTTCTTCGGGACGTGCCCTCTCTTCCATGGGGTTTTGCTAAGCACTCTGTTCCCTCCTGGATTTGAGTGGCCCTGTGTCAAACAATGCCACTTGTAGATTCAGTGTGTTGCAATGAATGTCCATCCTGTGATAAAATGATGCTTCAGTCCTGCCTACAGAAAGGTGCCAGGATCGTCTGCTGGCATGAGATGAGTACACCAAAGCACTAGGATCTTCTGAGGAAGGCAGAAATCCCATTGCTTGATTCACTTCCCATTATATATAGACAGCTTGTAACCTCCACAATCTCTTCTTGTTTGTTTGTTTTGGGCAACAGGAACCACTTAATTTCAGTGCCAACCATCTCTCCCTGCCAGAGGCAGCAAAACACAGCTCCCAACACCCCCACCAAAGCTTGCTGCTGCTACAAGTGCCACCGTGCTCTGCAAAGAGCTCTGTCTTAGGCGGGACCTGCTGGGCTCACACTAAAAATTCAGATACACTTCACAGGGTGGGCAATATGCCAGGGATTTAGGTTATACTCAAAGCAGATGCTAGCTCTAAAATTCAGAGATCTCAAGGAATTTTAACTCCCCTTCCCCCCAGAACACCTGCTTTCCCAGTTGTGTAGCAAACGGGAATCTTTCTCCTGGTCTACAAAACCTCACCCCCTTTCCCCCTAGCTGAGATCAAGTGTGTTCATGGCAGAAGATTGTAATATTTGTCAAATGGAGGAGAATAAAACTGGCTGGATCAAACAGGATAAAAATCATTTGGGTTGAAAGGTTTCAGGTTCAAGCCTCAAATAAATCATGAAGGTGAAAGCTGAGAGAAGAACCTAAATTCACCACCCTGTCTCAGAAGAAACTGAGATCAGGTTTCTGCTATTTGAAACACTCAGCACAAAAGTGATGTTAGAAATCCTACAGCCTGCAAGTGAGCTCTCAGGGGGTCTCTCTACCTCTTTTAAACAGAATTAAACTGCATCAGACTGGGATAGACACTGATTCAAATCTCAGTAGGAAAAGGGATAGCTATAAATAAACAAAATCGCCTTCCTTCCTTGGGTTAATTCACCGCCTGCAGTTCAGCACCCTTTTGCCAGCCATTGCCTAGGTGTTCAGCCAACCAGCTTGGAAAATGACCAAAGGAAACTGAATTCTTGGTGTTCCTGGTTTTAGGCACCCTGCAATGCAAGAGAGCTTGCTCCTTTCTATTTAACAGAGCAGGAACAAAGGAAAGGAGTCACCTATTTGGAGCGGAGCTAAGGCACTAATGATGCAATAGGTGAGGAAAGAACAAACACAGCAGGAGGACAACTTCATTGTTCTCTTCGCTCAATTCCCTTAAAAAACCCAATGTTATCTCTATAGAAAAGGAGGAGCTAATAGAGCATATACAGTATCCCTGTTGGGGTTTCATTTTAAGGTTATTTTGTTGTTCTCCCAGAGAGATTTGTTTCAGATATCAAAGTTACAGAAGCTGTTTCTAAAGTGGATTTTGGTGAATGCAGGCAGAGTTATCTGAGCAGCTCTGGCTAATCACAGCTTTGAGTGGATGCCTGTTTTGTTGTTTTTCCCTGTGGTTTCCAAAAAATAAGAAGCCCGTCTCTATCACTTTTTGGCATGTTACTGGGATAGGCCACCGAACTGTGCTGACCCCAGGGATGCAGTCTTTCCCTGTTCACAGCAGTGGCAGTCCTGACGTCATCACAGCTTGATGAAGATCGATGATGACTGGCTCATCTTCTGCCCAGTGTCATTGAGGGGGAAAACACTAGAAATGGCTACATCCACAATTCCTTGGCAGAGCTCTGCATACAGCTTCCTAAGAGATGAGAGAGACAGAATCATATACCCAGGCAGGACAAACCAGCAGACCCCCAGCCAATTTTTATGTAGACATGCATTTTCCTAGCAGGATCTACACAATCCTACTCCCATTACAAGGAGCTGCAGGGTGGCAAACAGGAAGAGGGCAGCATCTCTTCCATCTCCTCCCTGCTTATACCAGCAACCATCTTCTTTTTCAATGGTGATCCTATTCCCAATATTGCTCCCTGCCAGATGGGACCACAAAACCCATTATCTATGTTTACTGTCAGGACAGGCTTCTGAGCAGAGTCTCCACATCCTCAAGCCCCAGACTTGAGCCACCACAAGATGCTTGGGAGCAGACATCTCAGTACCCTCTGTACCAGCCTTCCAACTCAGGGAGTCCTGATTTACTACACCAGACCCCATTCGCATGGGGATGTGCCCCAGAGAGACTGCTCTGACACATTCATGGTTTGATGAAATGCTGTGCCGGGGTGAAGTTGTTCACATCAGCTTGTGACCAGGTACAGAGGCTTCACAGGACCCCCAGAAGCATGGGATGTGTTTCACTATGGCACAGCTCATACAGAGCAGGATTAGGGAGAAGAGAGACAAGGTGTTTGAGATGAGTTAACAATAGATTAATTTTCTGCTGAAGGAAATACATGTGTAACCTCTCTGAGCATGCTGGCATATGGGACATATTTAGTACCAAAGCTGTCTTTCCTAGGATTAAAAATGTCCTTTACTCCACGCCTTTGGGGCTACGTGACAGCAAGATATTTTTTCAGCTTCTGAGAATGTTATTGCTTTCAGCAGCCAATTTTTTCTCTTTAAATGGGAACTGTGTGATATGGGTGCTATAAACTAGAATAACCTTGAAGAGAAGCCTAATTTGGCTATTAGCCAAAACCTACCTCAGCTGCTTTCAGTATCTTCCAAGTGCCCATAGAGGCAAAAAACAAACAGGGCACTGCTGCAATCCAAATCCACCCAGCAATAGCCAAATTCTACCCATACACAAACACAAGGAGGTGCAAGGCAGTATTGCACCACGGTGCACATGGTGAACAGGGCATCCTGCACCAAGAAAGCTCCCCAAGCCCTATCCCTGAAACGGCTGCTGAACAGGCTGCCTGGTAGGTTTGACCAGAATTTTTTGTCTACTGTTAGTGGTGATCTAATCTAATTTAATCTAATCTACATCTAATCTGATCAAATTCTAGTGTACTGATGTACAGCCTGTTCTGTTTTGCTGGGGTTTTATATGATACAGATGCTCATTTAGCAAAGATGTCTAGTCTCCTGCAGTTGTCTCAATCACATAACAGAGCACCTCCCACTGTGCCTATGCAAAGATGTTCATGGCCAGGGCTGTTTGTCTGTCCCAGCCTCCCTGTGGCTAGTGGAAGCTTTGACCCAATCTCTAGAGCATCCACTGTGTGCTCTGGGGTCCTGCTGCCTGCAAATTTAGTCACTCACTTCCAGCTGCTGCCCTTAATGCTACTCATTTATTATGTATTCAGTGGCTCCACAAGAGAGACTGAGAAACGATCTGACCCCCAAAGCATTAAATGTGACACATAACTTCAGCCTAATAGTAATAAAAATGACCCAAGTTATATTCAAACCCGTTTGTTCAAAAACTGAGCTTAGTGCCCCATCTCACATGAGAAAGAAGCCAGGGGATACTAAACACAGAGACAGGAGCAATGAACCCAAATCAACTGGCACTTAGACCAGTGTTCAGTGTGGGTTAGCCTGAAAAAATCCCATTTAATTCACTTTCTTCCACCTTTTTCACTTGGAGTTGGAACATAGCCATGTTTTGGGTGCCTCATGTGAATGGTGGCATCACAAGAGTATTATGGGAACTGATTACTCACTGAGCACACGCTGGGGCCCCATTGACTTCTATTAGCCAGACCTTCAGCTCCTCATCCACCATGAAGTCAAAGCCAAAGAGCTGGAAGCTCTGGTAGTGAAGATGCTTCGTGCTGATTGCAGGCTCTATACACATAAGGCAGCTTCTGTGAAGGGAAAAACAGAAAGTCAACATTCAGAGCCCTGTGGACACTTGTTGCACTGCAGCTTCTGAGGGCATGTGTATAGTACAGTTAGGTAAAAGGGATTGCCCTGAAAGTGCCCCAAATTACAAGCTATATACAATACATGCCATGGTAACCAGGTCCCTGCAAGTGAGGTTCTGCAACCATGAAAATACACTCCTGAATTAACTCCTAAAGAGCTGGAGAGCAGCACCCTCCCTCACTACTGTATCACGCAAACTGAAAAACATGATGTACAATTAGAGCCTGGAGACACAAAAGGCTGCAGCAGGTCCCCAAGGAACTGCCACTGGACGCTCATTTGCCTCCAAGTCCCTCAAAGATTCTGTCATGTCTTTTTGGTGCAATCAACAGCAATGGGGTACTTACAAAGTAAATTCCTTCATGAAGGATTGCTTTGTCAAGACCTGGATTCTCTAAAGCACTGTGATCTCTGATATCTCTCTGTAGGCACTTTCTGTGCCTAGGAGGGAGCTGGCTCTGTGGACTGAGTACGGTGACCAAGGCAAATGCCATGTGCTGCTGCTTGCATTGGTGGGGGAAGCATCAAAACCCCACAGACTCAACTCCAGCTTCATTTCCCCTCTTGCACCTTATACCTTTTCTAATCTCAACCTCTCCTAGCCCTGTCTTTTGACCTGCTGTCTTCCCTTATCACTCCATCCTTCTCCAGCCACAGCTGGCAAAATGCAGACACATTGACACATACTACTGAGGAAACGGCACCTATGGAAGTGCTTTTCCATTGAGCAGTGACATTGGGGTATTTATGGCCTTTTAAATTTAAGCAACTGAAACCCTTCCCTTCTTGGTCTGGCTGCTTCCCTGGCTGTCGGTACACATTCCCTGTCACTGAAGGGTTATGTTTTCCTAAGGAGCAGGCAGTTGGCTACCTTATTATGTGTTTGATTTGCAGTAAGATGCCATTCTCAAGCGTTGTGTTCAGGGCATCCATCAGATACTGGTTGAACTCCTCAAAGAACATTTCATTCCCTTCCTCATACCGCCCATAGTTTTTGGAATATTCCTTCTGAATGCAGTGATTGGTCAAGTGGCAGGTTTTGTCCTGGAAATTAGCACTGTTATATGGTTCGGAAGAGGTCCGCAGGACACCCTCTCTGTAGAGGTAGATATTATATTGATGATCCACGAGAACCCAGCTCCTGGGGGACAAGAGAACAAACTCTAGTCTCAGTGGCTCAAAAAGAAACAGCATGAAAAAGAAAACTGGTATTACAAAAGCAGAGAAGGTTACCTGATGTCAAACTTGCGATGCCCTGGCTCTAAAAGTAGAGGATTCTCCAGGTATTTCTGAATCACGTGCACTTGTCCCTGCTCATCGATGAAGTCCAGAAGCTCTGTAGCCTCTGAAGAAATCAGGATCCCTTCTCCTGACATAGAAAGATGAAGACAAAATTAGGTAGAGGATCATTCTACCTTTGTTGGAGCTTTTTTTTCATGCTCCAAGTGGACCATGGCTCATTTGTCCAAAAAGCCATGCAACATGCAAGAACCTACGGATGGCATGGTGGCACGAGGGATAAGCCAGCTCAGCTAAAGTTGTCTAATACTTCTCTGGCACTATGCCTATTCTTCAGACATTTAGTTAACTTTTTGGACTAAACCTGATGACTTAGTCTTAATTTTGTGCTGAGCGTTTTGGAGGAAATACTGTGCAAAAAACCCCACACTTCAAGGGGGCATTGAAGGTATAATACAGGTTTGGAGCACAGGCAGTTTGATAGGATAATCCCATGAAAAACGCTCCTAGATGTGACTTCTGAAGGTCACTGCCAACACAGCCCTGCAGGTACTCTCAATGCTCCATGCTCTGCATACCTGAGTCACAGCTTCTCAGCCCTACTGACCTCCCATTCACCCCAGCATCCTCCACTGAAAGGAAGTCCTGTCACCAAAGTATCTTTCTCACCCATGCTTTATGCAGAGGGCAAGATTTTTTAGTCCCCTGATCACAGCAGAGCCAGGCAGAAACTTGCACTGGCACAACTTCAGGCTGTGCACTGGAGAAAGAAGGGAAAAAATATCCCTGTAAGCCAGTAAAGCCCCTGCAGTATGAAGATCATCAGGCACCCATTCTGCACTAGACAGATGGCGAATCAAGGGGGGGTTAGCTTAACTGTGCACCTAGTCAGCAATCCAGTGAGGCAGCAAAGCAGCTTATGTGGGGCAGCTGTTCCTTCTCTCAAAGAAAAGACCTAAACCTCTAGCCACAGTTGAAATATCTCAACTTTTAAGTCAGGGGATACAAACCCTTCAATTTTCCTGTTAGTGATGAATGACCAAGCTTCCACTAGACCTGTCCCAAGCCAGGGGCTGTGCCTGAGCTCTATCTGCCTTGGTAATCAATGTCAACAAGCTTTCTTCTTCATCAGAAGTAATCCCCAGACACTTAAAACTTCCCTCTAAAAGATTAACATGAGAGTCTGCTTTCCACTTTAATTTGCAGCAGCACACTGATGAATACAAAAAACTACTCTGCTTTAGTGCAGAAAAGATGGGATCACACTTGAACATCAAGTATGTGGAAAATGTAAACTTCCCCATCTTGGAGCAGACCACAGCAATGGCCTTTTCAATTACCCAGATTGATTTTTTGCCAGACAGTTTACCACACAGAAACATTTTCCATCACTGGCATAACAAAAGGACTCATCTCTCCTTCGTTCCTGATGAAAATAAGCATACTCTTCTGATGCTTCTTGGTAACAGCCAAGAGAGCAGACCAGCAAAGGAAGCCACCTCTGGCTTTCACATTCTCTTTTTGCAAGGCTGCATGAAAAATGACTCTGCAAGTATGAGTAACACAAGTGGGCTTGTTCCCTTAGAAAAGGCCAGACTGGGCTCTGCTGCACACATGGCAAGGTAAGTTTTTAAATGAAGCCATTCTAATAACGTGCTCATGATAACGCCGTAACAGACAGCACATAGCTATCAAAGCATTGCATCTACAGCTGTGCCAGCTACCTCATAGCTCATTATTTCTGTAGAGCGAGTGATGTAATGACCCTGGAACAAGGAAGGACACATTATCACTTGGGTATCTACTGCCCTATTCAAATTAAAGGGACATACAGACACTGCATTGCTTGTCTTTGCTCTGGTACCTTCCCCTACGGCTTGGGTGCAATTTCAATGTACTGAGCTCGTGGCTGCTCAGTTTCTCAGTGTGACCATGGGTAGGCCACTGGCACCAGGCATCTGAGTTTGGTTGAAAGACAAGCAAGATTTCCACCCAAGTGAAGCCAGGTTTAGCTGCAGCATGGGGAGCTGCGCTCCTGGCCCTTGATGGCTGCTGTCCTGCCTGCTGACCTCCTCCCCATACCCTGTTCTGCTCCCTCTTACCTCCTGCTCTCCCCATTTCCCTCACCTAGTCCCTACTGCCTTCTTCCTCCAGCACTTTCCCATACTTTGAGGTGCATGTGTAGAAATATGGAGGCCCTTTCACTGCCATGCATGTTCTAGGTAGCATGTGCACATGACAATGCTTGTCAGGAGCCCCATGCCACCAAGCAGACAAAGGAGAGCCCTGTGCTGGCTTGACTGGCATAGGGTTGGTAGGTGAAGCCCATCATAGACAGACTAGATATCAGCTTGGCTCAGCCAAACCCCGTGACTCTATGGATCATGTAAAGAGTAAGGAATAACAAGAAATAACTCATGGTGCTGGAGAATGAACCTTTGGCACCAGCTGAGGACTTGGCAATCCACACGTTGCCTTCTTTGCCTTCCTGCCGCCTGTTGTAAGCTGCCAAGAAGACTTCCCGCTCATCTGTTCTTGTGTTGTTTATGAGATGGTGAATTCCATTCTGTGCTGGAGCCACTGGGGTCTTCAAGTTTGTTGGGTAAATCACATATGACTCAGGGAACCATGTGCAGGACTCTGATAGCTCAGGGCTTGTCTTGATTAGCCTGGGTGAAGAGAGACAGGCTGTTAATCTCCAGAGTGTTTCCACCTGCATGGGCTCATTTAATAAGAAAAAAAATCATCATTAACTGGGTTTTTTTGCTTCATGAGAAATAGCAGTTTACAGATAGTCTATGGTAAATTATCATATTTTCCTTAGACCCTTGAAATTATGGTTTTCCTAAAGATATCATAGCAACCCCAACCCACAGCCAAGCACCACTCTTTGAACCAGAACCTGCAGGCTTTCATTAAACATTTTATTGATACCATGACACTAACAGCTGAGAAGTTTCCACGTACCTAGAGCCTGTGGTGCATTCCCTGCATCATCTCTGCACAAGGGAATTGAGGAGGTGTGTTTGCTAACACGGATCGGGGCAGGAAGGATGCAGTGATCACAACTGGCAAAAGGGAGGCCAGAGCAGTAACATTCTCTGTGCTGGTGCTTAGTCCTTGATCTCATTCGTACTGAGATCTGACCAGGTGTCCCAGCTGTGGATGACGAGCATTGAAAGCAAGGACATGGCTACATGTTTCACATCCCAAGGTATCTGGGATCCCCCTTGCACAATACAGTCTCCAATCTCTCTGGCACACTCCTTCTACCAGTAATGCCTGGAGATGCCAGCGAACTCCTGTTAGCAGAGCCCAAGCCTGTTTTCTTTCACTGTCAAGGGAGCTGCCTGTCTTTCTGAACGCTTGTGCTTTGCTTGAGGCCAAAAGCAGAGCTCATGACACGCTGACTCTCTTTGTGCATTTGTGCTTTTCTGTTGAAATGGCAGTCAGTCAGTGACACCCTAGGAGCCTGAGGAATGTCATTTGTCTTTGAGTTCATAAGTAGCTTGATGCATCATTGATTTGTGCATTTAGAAAGCTCAGCCAAGCTCCAGGTGATAAAAACAGCTGTGCAAGTGCTTTCAGCACTGCCTCTAGATAACGGGCCAAAGAGAAATCCACCTGAGGAGCGCCGTGGGTGCTTATTTAAAAAATATTCTGCCAGTTTCTGACAAACACCATCACCACTGCCAAAGAAGCAATTGGAAACAGGTTCTTTGCAGGGGAAGGAGAGGCCTTGGATCAGCACACAATCTGCAGGACTGCATCAGTGAGAGGCAGCACAAACCCTCATGTGGAATCAAACGCTGAAGGAGACCAAGAGCTCTGACATGAAGATGCCCTAATGGCTGCAGAGTTTGCACAGGGACGAGGGTTATCTACACTGAAAGCTCATCCACATTTCCCCAGGAGACCCTGGCATGGCAGGTCATGCAGAAATAACTCCCAGAGCTCTTCCTGGAAATGTCTCCAAGCACTCGTTTGACCAACAAATCTGATTAGCTAAAAGCATATTACTGTCTCATCTCTGTATGAAACAGAGAATAAAAGCAGTAGGTTTTAATTAAATGTCTACAAGGAAAAAGAGCAGATATGTTTGGGCTTCTTTTTCTTTTGATTTGGCTCTAATCTGATTCAATACACTCTATGGTTTCAAGTAGATATAGCAGTGGAAATGGCATTTCCCCTGAAGTTACAAAGATGCCTTTGTGCACAAAGATAGCTCTAGAGACCAGCATAGGAGTCTGAAGACAGCATATGGTAGGACACTCCCAGGGCAGCTGTTCTGTGAAATACCCCCCAAACAGGTTCAAAACTCGACAAGGGTTAGAAGAAAAACTGCCAAGCCCATGTAACGTGTCAGTGAATTTCTTACTTCACCAGAGATGCTTTGCGGCACAGCTTGTCTGCTCCCCTGTAGTAATTCACCAGCTGCACAAGTCCAGGTTCATGGCCTAAGAAAGGGAAACAAAGAGGTCAGACAAACTTCTCAAATAATAAAGGGAAAACAGCTGCTTGGTGCAAAGGACCTATGCAGTATGGAAAAAAAAAAACCAGGAGGTTGTTTCCTTGCCCTGCATTACAGAAACAGGCTGTAAGCTGGTACTGGCTCCTGCGGTTTCCTTCTTTTAGTTGCAAAAAACCATGCATTTACTCATTTGTTTTTAATCTGACACATCCATTTTGCAAAGGAAAGTAATTATTAGTAATTCACATTGGGAACTGGCAGCACCACCCAAAAATGTTCTCCATTTGCTAGTTTTTAAAAACTAAGATTTCAGTACTGTTAAATGCAGGTGGAGGATGCAGGGAAGCACACCATGATACAAAGATCATATCTTAGCAAAAGGCCTCTTTTCTTTGTCACGTACAGAATTCCCTCTTGGACCTGGTATCACAAAACACTGGGAAACATTTAAAGATTTGGAATCTTCCCTCCCTCTAGCAGTTTGCAGCAAGACCTCTTGGATAGCAGAGGTGGGAAGGAACCTCTGGGAGTCTCTGCTCCAACTCCTTTTTCAGTCAAAGTCTGAGTATCTCTAAGGATGAAGATCGTACTGCTTCTGTAAGTCCTTGTCCCAGTGCTTGGCTGCCATCCTTTGTCCCCTTGACTATCCCAATGGCCCCTGCTAGAGTCAGTCCAGGGTGTCTTAACCCTTTCTTGCACTAGGGAGTGCCAAACTGGTCCCTGTATCCAGCTGTTGCCTCACCAGTACCACATAGGTACCACAGAGTGCCAAACAGATGGGTACTTCCTTACCAATACTGGACTCCACACCACAGCCTGCCTTCTTTCCCTTCTCACATCACACAAACACTTGTGCTCAGCTGGAAGCTCTCTGGGAAGGACACGATGGCAGCAAGTGTCTGAAGGGTAACACAGATCTGGGTAACACTACACAGCCTCTCCCACACAACCAGTGCAGATGAACATGGGTGATGTGCAAGAGGCGAGTGATGCCTGGGGCAATACTTGGGTCACCAGTGACAGCAACTGACAAGAGCATCAATAGGGAAAAGCACAATGGAAAACTGCTCTGCTTTGAAATGACCTTGGACGAGGGGGAACCCCCAAGCATGAGAGTTACTTCCACCTGCACCCTCTTTCCAAAAAAAAAAAAAATGCTTGTGGGAGTGGACTGTAACCTTGAAAAAGGATTCAGAGTTTTAGTTATTCTCCTTGGTGTTTGCCTGGGAAAAAAGGCCTGGAGTAAACAAGACCAGGCAGCTGCAAGATCACAGAGTCTGAATATGTATTTTCAACCCCAAAGTCACGTCTCTGACCTTGGTCACTTTTTTATTCACAAATCTTTAAATATAAGACAGCTGAGAACCATCCTGCAGAAAAGATCTGTAACTTCAGGCACTTCAATATGCAGGCAGCATGGCCAGGTACTAATTTACTGAAAGAAAATAGTAAAAAACCTAAATTTTCTTTTGTTTCCAGTTTATCCTGGGGACACACATCCTCATTGGTTTCCTGAGCATCGCCATGGAACAGTGGGCTGCAGTGTAGAGTCTGGTGGCCAGCAAAGAGACCACGAGGCAGGAAGGGAAATGTTCTCGGGCATGTTGCGAGTTCTGCACCATGCATTTAGCGGAATTACAAAGCTGCCAAGGCACTGACCAAACTGGTGATCCTCCCGTAGCCAGCAGGGCACAGTCCAGCATCCTCTGCTACATGAGGCCTCTGCAGCCTTTTCCTCCTTTCCCTCCCCTTAGCACAAACTGCTTTTTTTGCTAGATGCAGACACTCACAGATTAAGAGCACAATCCCCCAAGAATTAGGTTATCAGTGAGAGCAACAGAGGTCCCTACAGCTGGACAGCAGCAGTGGTGCACGCTGAGAGTCCCCATTTCTACCCCTCTCCCAGTGACCCAGCTGAGCTCCTGAGTAATGCAAATCCCTACAGCTCCCTGAAATAACTCTGCTTCCACTGAGTAGAGCCCTTAGGAAAATCAAACCAGCTTTGATGCAACAGTTGCTCAGGAAGACAGCTTTAGGATGATGAACCAGAGAAGATACAGCTTTTTGGAAGATGTACCAAAATAACCATGTTATTTTTGCTCTGAATGTATATTGATTTCAGGCAACCAGTTCCTGCTATAGGACGATGGTTTAAAGAAGACAGTGCCAAAGCATGGTGCCTCTCCACAGGTTATAGATGTGTCTTGGCTCTGAGAGATGGTTTGAGTTTTCAGGCATCCTATGGCAACACAAGTTGAAGGGCTCACTGAAGTCCTTCCATCATCCGAGGACACTTTTGGAGGATGGAAAGGGTTAGTAAGAGATGTCCACAAGCCCATCATGGCTTGATGTGCTGTGCATGCCCACTCACATCAAAGAACTGTACTCATTCCGCAATGAGGCCTGATGCTTGCGGGCTCTCCATGCTGGGCACATTAAAGCACAGGTCTGCTTGCTGTGCCTGCTGTCAGCACGTGTGAGCAGCCTCACTGCTTAAGCCTCTCTCAGTGTTTCCCTGCCAGCTGCAGACACCCCAATGCTGGAAGGTGACCAGATGGCATCGCCATGTGATGGGGACTTTCCACTCACAAATGCATGAGGAGACAAGGGAAGAAGTGCTGAAGCTGGTGACTTGCAAATCTGGAAGAGCAATCAGAGCTGAGTCTCTACTGCAAGGCAAGGGGCTGCAAAGCTGTCCTGCCTCAGAGCTGCTGGAGTGAGGGGGCTCCTCCTGTTTTGACGTTACTGCAGCCAGAAACAGTGCTGCAAAATCACCCCAGGAAGAAAAAAAACAGGGCCAAGATGACAGTGCATCCCTGCTCCCCGCCACACCCTGCAACACTGCCAGTGCCTGGCTTGGCTCTCCCTGCTTGTGGGCAGTCCATAGCACTTCCCCTCCCTGCTCCTGGGCTCCGCACCATCCAGTGGGGCAGAGGGCCAGGGTGGCTGTGCTGACAGCCCTGTCTGTCATAGGACAAGCCTGCATAGGGCAGCTTCCAGGGCCCAGCATATTGGCAAGTGTGACAGTGGGGGTCAAGCAGCAGGGGAAAAGGTGGTGGGCCAGGGGGGTGTGGGATTCTACAACGCAAAGAGCCTCTGGAATTACCGACATCCTGCTCCAGGCAGAGACTAGTGCTCTCACCCCCACCAAGCCCTGTAGAGGCACATCCCCACCAGCCATGACTCTGGGGTAAGGATTTGAGTGTGCCTGGTTTAGACCTGTTTCCCCACCTGTTCCAAACACCAGAAACACCCCCATAACATGTAAGCTCAGCACCACAATGTCCCTGCCCAGCACCAGGCAGGGGAATGCCACTGGCACCACTGCACCCCCCACGAACCCACACTGTGTGCCTGAAGCCCCCTGCAATGGTGCAAACGGCGCCAAGGGCGTTGCTGCAGGACAAGGAGGGCAGTCCGGGAAGCAGGGCTCCACCCAGGGGGGGCCGGGATCCTGAGGTCTGCCAAATGCCAGATGAGGGGCCTCGGGTGATCCCTGAACACCCCCCACGCCACAGCACACCCTTCAAGCTGGGCAGGGGGTGTTCTGCGGGGTACTGGCGAAACCACTCTCCGGGAGCTTGGGAGGAGGATCCTTCGAGTCCTGGCTGGCATCAGCAGGGCCTGCAGAGCGACCTGCCGGGGGTCGGGAGGCGGCTGCACGGAGACCCTTCGGTGCCCGCCCTTTGTTTGGGCGACGGAGGCCAGGGCGGTGACCGAGCCCAGGTGACAGGGAGCCCTGCGCGCGGTCGCGGCAACAGGACGGAGACAGGGGCCGGGGAGCACCGTCCCCCAAACCGCGGGGTCTCTGCCGGGAGCGCCCTGCCCGTGCCCGCAGCGGAGGCTGCGGCGAGGACCCCGCCCTGCGGCGGTGGTTCACCGAGGAGGGGAGGGGACAGCGGCAGCCCCGGGCTGCAGGGCGACAGGCGGAGGACGGGCCCTGCTGCCGGCGGGGGCGGCCACGGTGGGGGGACCCTTACCCAGCCTGCCGAAGGGGAGCCGGTTCCTCTCGCCCAGCATCAGGTTGAAGCGGGGGTTGTCCCTGCGGAGGCGCCGCCACTGCCCGCTGGCCAGCAGCAGCCGGCTCACCTCGGCGTACACGCTGCTGCCCTCGTCCCGCACCACGAAGGTGTACATGGCGACGGGCGGGGGGGGTGGGGGAAGGGAAGGGGGGCACCCCGCCCTACCCCCGGCAGCTCACGGGGCCCCGCCGCAGCCCAGGCAGGGCCCTGCGCGGCCGGCGCCGCCCGGCCCGGCTCCGCATGGCCGGGACCGCCGCCCCCGCGCACCGCCCGAGGAGCCTGCCCGGGCGGGGACTGACCCGGAACCAGAACCACCCTCCTGCTCCGGCTCCTGCTCCGGCTCCTCCCCGCCCCGTGATGCCGCGGAGCCGGTGGGGGCGGGGCCGTGCGCCTCGGGCACTTGGCCCGGCCCCGCCGCTTCCCGCTGTGCCTGCGGGTGGGATTGCTCCTATCACCCGCTGCTCTCCAGTGCTCAGGGCCCCTCGGGGGTGCTTACCCCCCGTGTGGGTCCCCGCCTCTGTGCTCGGACACCCAGCCGTGGTGTCGGTGCTGTGCACTCGTGTCCCGGGGCTGCAGCCCAGCTCCGGGTGGTGCTTCAGGCCATGGGCACTGGCAGGTGGTGGTTGCCCTGTGGCCCCATAGCCTTGTAGGGTTGGTGCGACTCCAGCCTTGGTCTCAACCAGCCGGAGACACTGCCAGGTCTGGGCTGGCCCTGACCGCACACACGGGCTGCCGTGACCACCCCACGGGTATGGACCTCCTCTGGGAGCCGGGGAACAGCCAGCGTGCAGAGGACAGACAGCCCTCCAGCGGGACCCAGACAGGCGGGAGGCAACAGGATGCCCATGAAATTCGGGATGAAGGGGAAAACCAGCAATGACAGAGGCGGGAGCTGGAGGGGGCTCTGCGAAGTCTGGCAGGCACAGCCCTGAGCCCTACGAACAGCTGGGAGGTGGAGGGAAGGGGCTGTTCCCTCAGGGCTCATCAGACTTGCATCTCGTACTGTGTTCGAGAAGGATCTTGATAAACCAGAGTGATAAACTGCTGCTGAAAAGATAGCAAGTGAAGAAAGGGCCAGTTGTGCAGTCCTGCATGGTGGCTGTCCCGTGGAGTGCCTCACTTCAGCAGAGACTGTAGCGGCATGCCTTCAGGAGCAGTGGTTTCTGGCGGCACTTTTACTCTGGAAGAACAAAACACATGTTTGGGCTGATGGACACAAAATCAGGAAGCCTGACAGCCCAGACACCACCAGGCTGTCCCTTCATCTGCTGCCACCCAAAGACAGGGAATTGCAGGCAACAGAGAGGTTATGTCCCCTCTGCCTCAGCAGACTCCATGTGCACGGCAGGATGGGGCTGACTCACTGTGCCTTCTCGACGTCCTCAATACCCTCAGGCAGGCACGTGTTGAGCGTCTCTGGGAGCAGAAAGGCCACTGCACCGCTGCACACTGCTACACTGCAGTACGTCACCTCTGGCAGAGACCTCCACACCTCGTCCAGCAGGAACACAAGTGGGGCCAAAGCCCCGCCGAGGCGTGCCACAAAGGAGGTGTACCCCATCCCATTCTGCCTAGAAAGGTGTAGACCACCATGAGAAAGAGAGGAGTACTTCTGTCATATCAGATCTTGGGAAAAAGTGCAGAACTCTGCCCCTTCCCCTGCATTTTTCTTTAAGTACTGAGGCTTTTTTTGCCCCAGGTATTTCCTCTGACAGTTTTTTCCTAGGTTTTTTTCCATTCTTTCTTCATATCTTCCTACAATCATAGTATTTCCCAGAGAGCAACTGTAGCTGCTGTGAGAAATAGATTTATATCTATTATGAGAAAGGAGCTGCAGTTCCACACTCAAAATATCTGCTCTAAAGTTATTTCCACTTTAAATGTCTAAAACCCTGAGAGCATTTTCTAGTACTAAGTCCTCTGACCTGCTGAAAGCAAACCCAAGTTCCATCTTTTCCCAGGTATTTCTAGGCAGGTGGCATACACTAGAGATATCTGTGAGCACCTTTGGTCCTGTTGTAGCGATGAGCCCAGGAGGCCTTGCTGCAGAGACCAAAAATAAGACCTAATTTTGAGGGGATGGGTGGCATTTCACACCAATAACAAGGATCCTGGGATCTGTTTGTGCATATACAGAACAAATACTGCAGAAGGAACCAACAGTTTTGTCTCTGTCAAGGTCTTTGAGTGAAAAATACAAACCAATCTGAGATAAAAAGTAGCAGATCAGTGTTACATGTTTGGTTTAAATATGGATCATTTGCCACATGCAACAGACCATTGAAAGCTAAAGGACTAAATGGCAAAGAAGGGTACTCTGGGCGTGAAGGGACAGAGGTGAGGTAAGTTACAAGGCCTGCTGTGATTCATGAGAGTTTTTTCAGACTTTCACAAAGAAAGCAGTGAGGTGGCTCCTTCCACCAGTCCAGCTGTATCCCAAACTATGCAGATGATAAATCTGTTTTTTTTTGTTACTGTTGCCCAGATATTTCAAGTAAATTATTTTTTTCCTCCTGGAAGGCTAGTTAATCCATGCTTTAATATCATCTGATGTCCAAAAGACTCTCAAACATGTGGTAGTATGTGTTCCTTATAAAACTTAATATTTCAAGTTATTATTTTCAGGGTCTTTTAACAGTTGCTGACAGATTATCACAGGGAAGTAAGACTTTACTAAGCACAGATGCCTTATGGAGTTCAAAAATCTTCCCACACAGAATACTCCTCACCTTTCCATTCGTCTCCCTATCAACATAAACTAACCACACATAACCCAACGCACATAACCCACATAACAAGAAAAGGTGGCTTTCTGCCCCTTTTTTGTGAGTATATGTAATCCGTAAAACCTGCTATTTCCAGAGGCAAGGGACCAATCTGGCCAACAGCACATCCTGCTGTGCTGGTGTCAAATACCCCACTGAAGCTCTGGGTGTGCATTCAGGTGAGTGGCATCTCTTACCTCAGTATGGTAGGGTAGAGCTCAGAGGTGTACAAGTAGACAGTAGTGAACGCAGCTTCTGAGAAGCCTTTGCCCATAATGGCTACTGCAGAACGCAAGGAGGTGAAGGCTAGCGGGAAAGAAAAGGCATATGTGACAATGGTCAAAGAGCTGCCTCTAGGAAGAAGCTTCCTGTGGCCTCATGTATAAGAAGGGAGAAGGTTCAGTGCTCCCACAGACAAAACAGGGAACTTCATAGCCCTGGAGCTGCTGTCTCCAAAGGCTGGATCTGTCAGTTTGTTGTTAGCCCAAATGGGAATGAGGAAAGGATAGGTTCCTGACATTTCCCATTGTACAACATCTGTAATTAAGATAGGCACTTTACCTTGCCATCGCTGGGCCCTTCACAGTGACTGGAAACCATCTGTTGCCACCAGATATTAGGGCTAGCCCATATTAGTGACCTTGACTCATAGACACCCCTTAGGTGGAGGACTTTTCTATACAGAATTGCCTGTGAACATGATCTATGGTTTTCCTTCTCTAGCACTACACAGAATGGAAACCTCCCCTTTAGCAAGTACTGCATATAGCATCTCACGCTTGGGAATGGCAATGTTGGCTCCTATGCACAGTCCAGTCAGGATGAGTGTCCACGCCTGACTCTGTCGCCGTCCAATTCGGTTCACCAGCATGTACATGATCATCTTGGCTGGAATCTCAATGACACCAAACACAAACTGGGAGAGGTAGATGTTGAGCCCAAAGCCAGTCAGGTTCATGCTCATGCCATAATAAGAGAAGGAAACCCCAAACCTGCGAGGAATGTGTAGAGATGGGACTTAGGGAAATCCCTCTGGGGAAATGCAGGATGAATTCCCTATGTGAAGTGATACTGCTTACCACACAACCCCAGAACACAGAGAGATCTTCCGCAGGACTGGTGTTTTGAACAAACTGATGTAGAAGTAACTCCCTGCTGGCTTTTTGTCTGTTGTCATCCTTGTCAGGGCCTGGGAGAGATGGAATGAAGGAAACAGCTCAGCTGCTGTATTTTTAGGATCCAGACATGAAACCCTAGACAGGCAGGGGACTTTGCCCTTCCCAGCTTCAGCTCCGCCTTGGATTTGCCATGCATTCCCATTCCAGAACAATTCTGTGAGCATACATTGTCAGAGGCATGTCTTCCTACAACTTTACAGATTGCCTACGATTTTAGACCTGCTTTTCTTCTCATGGCCCCTTCTACCCTCTTACCTATAAACCCCATGTGGCAGAAAGGGTTGTAGAGAAATGGCAGATCATGGTGTTAACAAGGTCAGTGTTGGTCAGTTCCACCCTATTCACCATGTGGCTGCCTGCTGTTTTATGAGGTCTCAGACAGCAGCCAGCAGTGAGCTGCATGCTTTATTTTCTGAGTGCATGTATTTAAAGTGTAATCATTTGTACATCTGTTTATATAAATACAGAATACATAAAAAAGTCAAGCACAGAGAAGTGAACGCTGCCCATGAGGAAGAAGAGAGTGCTTATTCACAAAGGCTTTTGGCAATTGATTGAGGGGTAAGTACCAGTGGAGTTGGTAAGTTCTGCTCGCTGGTTGAGATGCAAGAGATTCACACAACCACAGGTCTGCAATGTAGCTATACCTAAGCTGGTTGCCATGGGTTCACTGTGTATTTAATGGAGATCTCCAGCGGAAATGATGGAGTCGTTTTACTCCAGGGGAAACAACCGCATTTGCATTTTGTTGGGAGGATTGCATGCCAACCCCTGCCAGCTGGTCGTTAGATTGCACACTAAAGGAGGCTTCAGACAGTAATGATGTGGATACCTACTACTGGGAGAGAATTCTTCTCAGCCTCACTTCACCATGTCCAAAAATCATCAGCAAATGCAGGGTAGGACAGTTAAAATTGATAAGGTTATGAAACACAGGAAACCTTGAGGAGAGAGTCTGCTAACTAGTTATATGTACTCTCAAATCAATATCCTCTTCAGAGAAAGCAAAGCCTCAGCCAAAGCTTTTGCATAAATACTTAATCCCAGCCACAGAGCTGCATAGGCCACACCATTTTTCTGTCAAAAATCAAAAGGGCTAATCAACTCTTTGACAGATATTAAGAAACTGCTTTTTAAAAATTAAATGCTGTCCATTTGTTAGGGTTCTCCTTCCTCTTCATTTGTTCAGACATCTAGCTGAGAAACTTCATTCTTTACACCTTTGGGGTCAAGCAAAAATGGGTTCAAACCAGTGGATGCATGCATACTTTGCCCAATGCCTCACCCTTGCCACATCCCTTTAAAAGTGCTGGCAGAACCATGACTGACTTGAAAACAAAGTTTTAGCCAGGGGAAAAGTTTGATTATGCTGAATGTTCTTTACACCCACATTGA